TAACGCAATCTTTAAACAAAGCAATAGAAACAGCGTTCAGTATAGCAGAAGTTCACAACTACTCCAATGTAACTTTTAGGAATCAAGGATAAACTATCTAATTCCGCCTCCTCAATATGTGTATCTCTCAGTTGGACTGCTCTTATGGAGCATACGCTTAGACATGTTCATCAACAGATTTCACATCACACGCCCAACATCAGTTAAACAGATCATTGATAACCAGGGAACATTGGTCAGTTGTTATGTCCTATTCTGGGATTCTTCAGCTTGTTCACACATCCCCACCCAACCAGCGACCAAACCGGAGGCCTTCAGCTCCATTTACCATTCAGTCACCTGGACCGGATGAAAAGAGCTGTCCAATGTTTCCCGGTTTTCAACAATCTCTCTTACTGATGTGTGTTGGTTCGTGACGTAGTCTAACGATTGAAATCAGATGGATCGAAATCCCCCACAAATTCCATAATCTTAATATCAATTTCTAGCTCATTCATGGCTACTGGATGGATAGTTGGATAGATGTCCTGTCCTGAAACTGTAGTGAGAAGTGGTGACCACCATGGGGTCCATCACAATGTCAAGATGAAGTCGATTCTTATCGAAGGCATTGGTGAGCGTAGCTAAAATTCACGGATCACCGAGTTCCATCTATGTGGCTGGGTGGTCGACGAGTTTGGTGTCGTAACCTGAAGGCCCGGGTTCGATCTCTGGTGGGGTTGTGGGTGAATATTTCTCAAGGGTAGTACTGTAACTACAGAAGACAAGGGCCAGGCAACAGATCCTCTGTTGAAAAAATCAACAGATGTTTATAGATTTTTATGTACATTATTGTTAGCAGAGAAGCGATGTCTTCTAATTGGTTTGTTTTTCTGCCGAAGGTTATTTTGCACTGCTGGTGACCGTATCTTAGAAAGTTAAGCCACATATCTGCGAATGCTATTTGCACACATTAAGTCTTCTGTGATTGGTTGGCGAGTTCCTCAAGGTGGTTAAGCTTTGTTATTGTGTTTTTTCACATGACCCGGATTCGGGACGTAAATTGCTGTTAACAATTTCTAGCTTGCAGCCAGCTCCTCACCACATTAATATTTTTTTAAAAATTTCATGTTGATCTTAACTGGTGCAGGGAGGTGTCTTAATCTCTAAGACCAAAGAATTTAACTGAAAATTCGGATATGAGTGACGATTTAACTTGTTATATACATAAATATTTCCATTATGGATGAGATTTTATTCCGATAAATCACAGTGTTGTACAGTAATATTAACTGATGACCACGTTTCTAGCACAAATTAATGCCACCCATAATCATATCAAGTCACTCACACAACTTTTTCCCTTCATTTATACGCATGTGTGGAATCGATTAGATATTGGATTAAAAATCGTATGGAATAGTGTGCATTCGGAAATGATAACGTGAGCTATTCAAGTATTGCAACCAATAATATGAGGGTTATTGATCAATTACGATTAAATGGGAAATAAGACGAGTGTTTTTAAAGCCATAATAAGTTACTTGTTAGAATGTTGTGATGTGCTTGAATTGAAATAGAATTTTAAGATTATTTATTATCCTCTTCTGATTCGACTGATTGGTGGTAATAATATCTTCCATATCTCTGGTATTTGCATTAAGTCAATTCTATTGCATGTGTTGGGTGTAGACTCGATGAACGAGGATTCCGTAATCAACCTCTCTCTCCACCTACTATATTACTTTTTAGAGTTTTGACTCTGTCTCACCCACCCTATTGTATCGTTGTGCGTTGATGCATGTAGTGCAATTGCCGAGGTTTTTTCTAAATTACTTATCTTCTTGGGATCAACCATTCTCACCTTAGCTAAATTCTTATGTTCTGACAATCTGACTACCCTTAACCTATTAGTTTGAACGTTGTACTTCACCTAACTCACAGTCATTGCAAGGTATTTTGTAAATTATATTATTTTGTCTAATTGGGTGAACAGGGTCCTTTAACCTACAGAGCTTGTCCTTAACTGAGTTTGTAGGTTTGAATGCTACCCTAATTCCTGCTTTATTAAGAATCCTACGTAGGGTCTCATGTCCTCTGTCGTCTTATATGGTATAACAATGGATGACTTATATTCTTTTATTTATGTTATCATTAATAGTTCCACAATTATTTTTGTCTTGTTTTTAGCCTTTACTGATTGACCTAATGAATTTTATAGGATAATTATTTAACACCAACGCTTCTTCTATCTGTTTTATTTCATCATTTAGGTCTTTTTTGTGCCACTTAGTGCTATTGCTCGGTTTGTTATACACACTTAACTAAGTCTGCCTTAACAGTTAACGGATGAGATGAATTAAAGTCTAAATATCTATTAGAATTTTTATTTATTTATTTTTATTGGATTTTTACTCCAATATCTAATCATCCATTCTACACATGTGTATATATATATATATTTTATATATATATATATATATATATATATATAAAGGAAAAGAGTTGTGTGAGTGAGTGACTTGATATGATTATGAGTGGCAATGATAATTTGTGCTTGAAACGTGGTCATCAGTCTGTCTGTCTCTGTCTAGATTCAACGTAGAACTTGGCACCGAAGTGCATCAGTTCGAGTTGCCACCTTCCAAATAGCACACAAAGGTAGACAAGAAGATGACTGAAGAGAATCAATAGAGTTTGACAGGTATAAGAGCGAAACAGAATGGGTAATGGTAGAAAGGAATATGAAAGATTACAGAGACTGAATACATCTGCGCCAGCCATTGACAACGATTTTGAGCCATGTCACCTATTGTCTCCAGCCATTGATTCCTAGATCCCGGAAGTCTGGATCTCCCTACCTGACTCAGTGTAACTGTCAGGGATTTCATGGATTGATGAGGCCATGTTTTTGTTTGGCCACCACTTACTCTTTCCCAACCTGCACCTATATCAGCTAGTAATGCCCGTCGTCGGGGGAGGCGGTGGTTAGGCATGCGCACCACGTGACCTAGCCATCTCTCAATCTATGTAACTTTATATCCTCGTCGATTGATTTTCCCTCTTTGTCCAACACTCTACGCCTAACGTCAACATTACTTACCTTATTAAACCACCTAACGTGAGAAAGGGATCGCAGACATCTATGATCGAAAGCAGTCAACCTTTTCATGCCTTCAGCTCGTATTGGCCATGTTTCAGAGCCATAGAGAAGGACGGAGCGAACTTCTGAGCAGTACACACGTCCCTTGGTCATCAGTTAATATTACTGTGTAACAGTGTGTGACACTATCAAAATAAAATCTTATCCACATAATGGAGTTATACTCTACCACCACAGTGCCCAAGTTTTATACTTATATCAATAATACATTAAAATTCAATTTACCTCGTTATTACATCATCATCATCATCATCATAATGATCCTAAACAATTTGCATATAAACATGGTAGAAGTACCTTGGATGCTGCGGTCGTCTTATATCACAATGTTGTCTCTTGTTTAGACAAAGGTGCCAAATATGTTCGTAGTGCTTTCTTAGACTACACATCTGCTTTTGACTCTGTACCTAGAGGCCTTTTGTTAAATAAGCTATCATTGACACAAACAGGATCCTGGGCTAAGAGTTGGTTGCATTCCTATTTTTCTGATAGAATGCAGTATACTGTATATAACGGCAAATCTTCTTCTACCTCGCTTACAAAATCCGGTGTTCCACAAGGTGCTGTCCTCTCTCCTTTTCTTTTTTCTTTCTTCCTACATGACCTGCCTCATTGAAACGAAACTAACTTTGTCAAATATGCAGATGATCTGACTGTATCACTGCCTATCACTTCCGAGTCTGACAGCTCCAAACTTAATAACTTTCTGTTGGACATCAACAAATGGTCCAAGTCAAATGGTCTTATATTAAATCCTTCCAAATGTCAGGCACTTGACTTTACTTTCAAGCATCGACGTGACTTACTTGAACTAGTTAGCTCGCATGATCCCTGTAGCATAGATGGCACGGAAATTGAAACCAAGTCAAGCAGCATTAAATACCTTGGATTAGTTCTTTCCTCTGACCTTTCATGGTCATCACACATCTTATCTATTTCTAAGAAAATGTTTCGTCTTACCTTCTACATTAAAAAGTTAAGACAATCAGGTATCAACCAACCTTTAGTTTTGCAATTTTTAAACTCTTGTATTTTACCTATTGTACTCTATTGCTCTCCATTAATCTTTCCTGGGCTTCTCAAAAAAGATTATATCATATTACGAAGAGTATTAAATGCTGTGAGAAGGTAGGGTTTGTGGTACACCACTGCGTGAGATCGCCAATATTATAGTCGAGAGACATATGAAATCCTGTACGAAATGGGCAAAGGCTGTACTGTCAGACCGACCCTCTGCACCCCCTTTATTCACACCTGTCCCCTTGTATCTCATCAGGTAGGACGAGAAGTCAATATAAAAGTTATATGCTCGTACCACTAAGTATAGAAATTCTACAATACCCTATTTAGCCTATTTAGCCCGTACTTTATGTGACGAAGACTCTGTTAGACGTGAAACTTATAAGTTACTATGTAATTAGTACAGTGAATCGACCCTTTCATCATTCATCTTTCTGTATTTTATGGTGTCACACTTTCTATCGTTTAATTATAACTTTGCTATTTTATTTTAGTAGGTATTACTATTATTACTACAATTTTGTACTTTATGCATATTTTTCTCCGTATGGCATACAGTATTTTGCTATGTAGCTGCTATAACAATCGTTTTATTACTGTTGTGTAATGTGTATTTTTAATTTTTTTGTTGTTGTTGTCGTTTTTGAGTAAACTAGATGCAATATTGTACTGAATGCTGAAAATTCCTTTCTGTATCATTAGTACTGTTTTTGGAATAAAGCAAATTATTATTATTATCATGTACTGGTTCATTTATTTCTAATTACCAGTGGGACTCATAGCCTTTCATCGATATTATCAGTATGTCTATTTTGAATAATTTCTTTCCTTTTTTCAGGTTTACAGAAGATGTAGAATTACAAAATCTAGATAAAGAAGACGCCTTAATTTGTTTTGAAGAGCATATCTGTATGCTTGAACAAGAGTATGAAGAGGAGAAAGATCGTGAACGTCGTAAACAAAAAAGGGAACAACGTAAAAATCGTGAAGCTTTTATAGTCCTGCTTGAGGAGTTACGTGAACGTAAATTACTCACATCTATCTCTTTATGGAAAGATCTTTATCAGATTATAAACAAGTAAGTGCCTTATTTATTATTATTATTGTCATTTGAAATCTTGAAATTTTTTCAGCTGGCAAAGATTACGAAGTGATACTAGTTAATCATTTTGATGTGGTTGTGTTCTTTGAGCTGGATAGTTAATTTGCAAAGCTTCCATCGCCCTACTAGGCAACATCCTCACTTCAGCGCATACTACTTCAATTTGTTGAAGTGAGCTTTTAGATTTCTCCACGAGTTTATTAATCATCTCTCCTGGTGACCACCTCGGACGTGATTGGTTGTTTTTTGTGTTTTCGCATCTTCTAGGCAGCTACTTGTATTGGAACTGATTGTTTCTTTAACTTGAACTTTGACTTTTTGTGTGTAGTTTTCTTCTTATCGGTTGATAAATTTTGTCTATCTCGATTGTGTCTATTGATTGATGATTCACTGAAACCAGACAGGCTTCTAAAACCATTCTCTATCATTCTTGTTGTTTCCTCTGTCTAATATTTGAACGTTGTCCCAGTCGAATTGATGTCTGTGGTTGTCTGTATGTAGTGAGGCGATATGAGTAATGGAGTGGATATCATGTCTTTTGACGGCAGTTATGTTCGTGGATACGAAGACGAAGGGTAAGGGCGTCCACTTTGGCCAATGTAGTGTTTTTTCGCAGTTGTTACAATTTAATTTCTAGATGATGTTGGTTTTACCTTCTTTCGCTCGCTGTTGAGTCTTTTGGTTGACATAGAGCCAGCTGAGTGAAGTGACTTTGGTTGGTTTGTGTACGACGTCAATTCCTAGAGGTTTGAAGCGTCTTCCTTGTAGTGATTTATGAGATATCCTTTATATGTGGTAAGGCGATTTTCTTTGTGCTTTCCTTGG